ATATCATAATTCGTACAATCTTTTAGAGAGAGAGAGCGGCATAAGCTTCTTGTGCTTTACCGGTTATTAAGACACTTTGTAATAATAATGACCATTTTTCGGGGGGTCATTCCATGGTTTGGGCAACCTTCTCAAAATGTTGGAAATATTTATCAACTTCCTTTTCATTAAATGGTGGTACTTTAACATATCAATTAAGCTCAAGGTTGTTATTTTGCCTTGGTCGATCGCAGTTAAGTCTAATTTCCATTTCTTTTAACCTTATTTCTTTCTCGGCTTAAATACGAGTTTGTTCGGCCTCGAGGCGTTTACTTTCTCTTTCAGTTTCAATACGAGCTTTTTCAAGCTCAATTTGTTTGAGTTTTAGCTGGATCTCTAATTTATCTTTATCACTCAACCCCGATTGGCTAGTAGAGACACTAGAGTATTCCTCTAATGCTTCTTCAGGCAACAAATCATCATCGACTAGTATTTCGATAATACACTTTTTTAGTTCATTTTTTTCTCATTGATCTTTTAACTTCTAGTTCTAAAACTTTGGCAATTTCGAGCAATTCATTTTTGTTATATCTTTCTAATTGTTCTAGAGAGGGTGGTACAAGAAAATCTTGATAATCCGACATGATCAAATCTTGTTGGCACTGATCAGTATAAATTCAATTATGATTTAAATTATAATTTAGATTGAATTTTGTCTCTAATTCAAATCTCGGACACGAGCCTCTAATTTATTATGTTACATATTGAGAATTTGAAATGATCCAAGGCCGCGTTAAATATTTTAACTTTTGACAGTTGAGACATACCTTGGATACAGGTTTAGAAATATTCCGGTATTTTATTTAATTTACGCTATTCGCCAACAAGATTGATTAACACCGTTTTTGGTTTTGACACAAATAAGCTTTAATATATATATACAACACTATAAACTATAATAGCAACCATTAATGATTACAAACAAGGTTTTATAGACAGAAATTTCAATAATTTACAAATAGCCTAAAATCGTATTTCTAGTTCAGAGTCTCCTTGATATTCAGGGAGGTGTATGTACAATATTTGGCGGGAAACTAGCTAGCTTTGTCAGGCACTAAATTGTTGGACGTTGAAGTAAGATAATATTTTCACAAAATCACTAATGTCCGTTGAGAAAAGTAATAACATTCTTGGAGAGATATTAACGTTTGGTGGGAATTCACTGACGTTCGAAATTTATAACACTCCTGGTCAAATGTCATATATTTTCCGGTTGATAGGGTTAGTACAATCACAGTTGATAGTGTTTGTTTATTTGTTTCCAGTAGAAATTTTTCCCAAGGATCTTCAGCGATACAAGTCCTTTCTTGATTAAAACAGTTTATTCTTCCTCGATACAAACTTTTAGTACACAGTAGGTCCGCAATCAGTACGTTTCTCGTCACTTTAAACTTAACAACTTTTATAATACGCACTATTAATCACAGCGATTCACAATCTCAATAACTTTGCTCTCGACGAGTGCAAAACACACACTTACGGCTCACTAGCTCGAAACTAAAAGAATCATAAATTACATGGAACTCAAAGTAACTACTGCTCTCTCTTCATTCATCTCGTCGCTGGCTTTCTCTGCCAGGCTTATACTAACGAAGAGGGCATCTTGAACACACTCGGACTTCCAGTACTCTATCCATCAGCCTCTCAAATGTGCTGGAGCATTGCTAAGCCCAAATGGCATCACACAGTATTGCCAGAGACCCTGGCCATAAGTAAGTGCAGTCTTAGGTTTATCTGCTTCAGCCGTTTTCACTTGATGGAAACCCGACTTTAAGTCCAGAGTTGAAAACCACCTGGCTCCACTTAGGGCATCAAGAGTATCATCAATTTTTGGCAGTTGGTATAAGTCCTTTTCGGTTATACTGTTAAGAGCCCTGAAGTCCACACAGCAACGTTGGGTCCCATCCTTCTTCTGGACTAACACGACGGGAGCTGACCAGGGACTATCTGATTTCTCGACTATCCCTTCCATAATTAAGCCAACCATGACCTTTCCATCTCTTGTGACTTTGCCAGAGCTAGTCTTCTTGGAGGGATCTTTATTGGGCGGTGATTGCCTGTGTTTATTCTGTGCTCCATAAGGTATGTGCAGTCAAGGTCATGATCTCCTTTTGAAAAGACGTCTGCATAATTCGCCAAGAGTTCTCTAACCTGAAGAGCCTGTGATGATGACAAATTGGCTATTCTCTTCTTTTAGAAGTCAGTTAAATGTTCTGTGAGAGGATGTCCTTTTTTATGGTTGTGTTTCTTGCCTTAACATTGACTAGTTCTACCTCCTGGCACACACCCAACAATGCCCATTCCTTAAGTGTTTGCTCACATTTAGAGAAATTAGCCACTGTTATGGGTACTACTTGATGACCTACCACAAGTGACCGTCTAATCTTCAAGTCTGCTGGCCTTGATGGGTCTTCCACTGCTTCCACAAGCATCGGGGTTCCTTGGTGATGTTTTTATTCTACCCCAAATTATCTTCTCTGACATAG